CCGACGTTCTCCACCAGCCGGGAAACTTAGCTATTTTAAACAGTTAACTGTGAGGATTTACTTTCTCTAGTATATTTTGATTTTTTTTTCAAATATTTGTTTATTTATTGTTATCTTTTGATTATTGAAGAATGTTTATTACACAGAACAATATTTATTGTTATTTTTGATTATTGAAGAATGTTTATTACACAGAATTTGAATTTACCCCTAATTACAACACAAATATTTAAACTACTTCGAAACCCTAACCTTATTAACCAAATAAATCTAAGTAATACCCTAATAATAGTACTTGCCCAAATAATTATCCTTATTAATTTTAGACATAAAACCCTAGTACCCTAAAATATGTGAATATATCAAAGATTTGTATATTTTTATTAAAAAATTAGTAGTGTGATATATAACACAATAATGTGTTATATATTAATTTTAGGTGAATAACAAGTTAACGTTAGTCGTATATCATCCTCCAATAATTACTACCAATTATTTTGACTTATAATATAAATGGACGATTCCACTTTGGGTATGAAATTTCATTTTATACTGAAAAGGATCGCTTAATTTATATTATAAGAAGAAAGAATTGGAATGTAACTATTGGATCTGTCCAGTTCGGACGGGTTAGGAATATAGTAGTGCATACATCTAACTTGGTATACTTTGTGCATTTTTATTTCTAGAAAATCTCGGTCGCACGTACGTGTTGTTCTCTGTGTACAATAAGCGTATGTTATTATGCGTATCGGGCTATTTACTTACCGATTTTGGTTTATTACCGATACACATAATAACATCCGCACAGTGTACTTGGAGAACAGCGAGTAGGTGCTGCCGAAATTTTCTAGAAATAAAAATGCACAAAGTATTCAAAGTTAGATGTAAGCACTACTATATTCTTAATGGGATATAAGCCTTCCTATGACAGCCGAGAGTGTTGGTTCAAATCATGATTACTTATCATTGAGTGTTAGCTTTTACTTTGTACGACAATGAAAATTATAGAATTGTAATTTAATTCGTTTGATTATTTTAAAAGAAATGCGATAGGAACTTCAAAATTAGGAGAGATTATATTAAAAGAAAGGAGCGTGTCATAAAACAAAGACTAGATAAAGCTATGGCTAATCTAATGAGGGAAAGGGGTAATAATTTTGTATAAACTTTGAAGATTTCCTACTTATTTATTTATGTAAGTTTATAAGAAATTTATTTCTCTTTGTATTTGTAGGCAGAAAAGATTATGAGAAAGTCGGTAGACATGGGAGTGAGGAAAAGACGAAAGTACCTCCGAAAGGGTACCGGGTCATTTTGGAGTGGAAGGGTAATATTCCTGTTGGGGATTGGACCGTCAGATTTAATAACCTGATAGGCTGTTTAATAAGAGATCCATGCTCAATTAACATTGCTCATAACTTTGAGGAGCAAGAATTTAAAGGCATAAAGGAGATTTGGGTGAAGCTTATGGTAATTATTTATTATACTGCTTATTTTATTTACAATTCACAATGATTATTCTTATAGTGTAATTTTTTTGCCATGTAACTTGCAGGATCATTATTATCTTGAGGACAACCCAGAGTCTTGGGATTATGTTATCCCCAAAATGGCCAAGCTTATTCGGGGTTGGAAGAGTGATCTAAAAAATATATTTTACAATAATATCTACTGATTGGAAGATGATCTATGAGCTTGATAAGAGAGTTTATCCATTTAATTGGATGACTCTCATTATCGAGTGAGAGGGTGAGAAGAAGGTGGATTATTTTTAATTTAAGATATTATCATCATGTTATTTTTCATTTATATATAATCATCGCACATACAAATAAAGTACTTTATTTTGTAGAAAATATGTGAGACAGCATCGGTGAATCGCAAAATGAAGATATACGATCACTTCTTAGGATCTACTTCTTATGCTCGGATCGAGCATAAGTATTTGAGTGAAAACCCGGTATGATCATATTATTAAAACTGATATCATGTGATTAGTTTTATACATTTACTTTGAAATTTAATATATCACAGGACGCTTTGACTATGCCCCTGACTCTTCTTGCTAGAAGAGCTTATACACCGCCCAGGACTATGAAAATGTAGAGGGAAATGACAAAAAAGTGGAGAAACTTAATGAATTGGTCGTAAGTATAAGATTAATTTTAGATTTGTATATACTTAATGATTTCTCATCAAAGTTTTCAACTTTTACGATATATGATATACAGGCGGTGGTGGAAGCTTCTCAAAACGAGGTCTTGACCCGTGTCAGTCAATCTCAGGGTATAGAAGACACTTCTGTAGAGCCTAACCGCATGACCAGAGACGAGTGGATGGAAATCGTCGACGGAGCTTACGGTTTACAACCAATAAAGAAAGGAAGAGTTCCTTTGTCAAGTGCTGGAGCTAAGAAATTCACCACCACCAATAAGCTTAGCAGCCAATCTGTGACCTCGACGCGACCATGTGACACATCATACGTTGTGGGTAAGATTGGTCAATACTTGTTGAAGAATGTTGAAGCCTCTTTGGTTTTAAGTTTTCTTCCCACTATTAAACACGAGTTAGGTGGTGCACAAACGACCTGGGATGTCGTTCAGCGACTCGTCGATTCTCAACCCTTAAAGGACTTGCTTCCGTAGCCTATATACATGGATATCATGGGGATGGAATTTAATGAGCATGCAGCTATAAGTGGTGGAGAGGTATATATGTCATATTATATATGCAGGTATTATGAATATTTTGGAATATATTCTCATATTGATTTACATTCTTTTTAGGCTAGATGAGGTACTGTAGGAAGCAGCAGTACGATACGATATTTTGATGCACCTGTTGCCGACGATAGGGATCAAGATGACTACAATGAATGAGTAGTGAGTTAGACTTTATTGTTACTTTTGTCGACTTTTGGATTGTGTTGAGCATATAATCCGGATTATATATATATGTGAAGTTATACTTTTTTGTTACTTTTGTCGATTTTTGGATTGTGTTGAGCATATAATGACCTCCGGATTATATATATACGTGAAGTTATACTTTTTTGTTACTTTTGTCGATTTTTGGATTGTGTTGAGCATATAATGACCTCCGGATTATATATATACGTGAAGTTATACTTTTTTGTTACTTTTGTCGATTTTTTGTTACTTTTGTTACTTTTGTCGATTTTTTGATTGTGTTGAGCATATATAGTGTGTGTGTGTGTGTCGATGAATGATGAATGTGATTATTGTTGGATGTGAATACTGTTGGATGTGAATTGATGAATGTGAATACTATTGGATGTGAATTGATGAATGTGAATATTGTTAGATGTGAATCGATGAATGTGAATATTGTTGAATATTTTATGAATATTGGAAGCAACAGGTATATATTCCCAAATGGGGCTCAAAAAGTAGCAATTTTTTTTCTCGAATTACATTCATTAGCGACGAAAAGGTCCGTCGCATTGTGTGTGTGTGTGTGTGTGTGTGAATCGATGAATGATGAATGTGATTATTGTTGGATGTGAATTGATGAATGTGAATACTATTAGATGTGAATTGATGAATGTAAATATTGTTAGATGTGAATCGATAAATGTGAATATTGTTGAATATTTTATGAATATTGGAAGCAACAGGTATATATTCCCAAATGGGGCTCAAAAAGTAGCAATTTTTTTCTCGAATTACATTCATTAGCGACGAAAAGGTCCGTCGCTAATGAACATTAGCGACAGTGAAATCAGTCGCCAATGTACATACATCGCCGTCGCCAATAAACATTGGCAACATGGTGCTTTGCGTCACCAATAATCATTGGCGACGAGTTCAACCCCGTCGTCAATACACATTAGTGACGGGGTGTTTTCCATCGCCAATGTGTTTTGGCGATGGCTAGATTTTCGTCGCCAATAAACATTAGCGACGGGGTGCATTTTGTCGCCAATAAACATTGGCGACGGACAACACGCCGTCACCAATGTGTTTTGGCGACGGTAAACTTGCCGTCACCAAAACACATTGGCGACGGAAAGCACCCCGTCGCTGGCGACGGCAAGATCGCCGTCGCCAAAACACATTGGCGACGGAAAGCACCCCGTCACTAATGTGTATTGACGACGGGGTTGAACTCATCGTCAATGTTACCTGTCACCAATACCTCTCCGTCGCCAATGTACATTGGTGATGGATGATCCCATGGCCAATGTGTATTGGCGAGGGGATTATTGGTGACGGGCAATTGGTCGTCACGAATGTGCATTCGTGACGGATTTGACTGCATTGGCGACGGATTTCCCCTTCGCCAATGCTCTGTTTTCTACTAGTGAAAGCTCGATGTCAAGGGTTTATTTGCAACCATGGACATATGTGGGGTATGCTCACAATCTATCATACCATATCATACTCCCTTTAAAAGCATGAGTTCTGGAAAAACTTTCCATGGTCAATATTACCATTCACTATTTTAAATATTTTATTTGAATCTTAATTTATCTCGATTCTAATTATATTTAATTAGGGCTGCTAAACCGTATCCGTATCCGAGGAAATATCCGTAACCATATCTGTTAAGATACGGATATGGTTACTCAAATCTATAACCGATAGGATATGGTTACGAATATGATTTTGTAGTGAAATATATGTATCCGTATCCAAAATATCTGAATACATATTAGTCATACTCTTACGATAGTTTCGATTCTTATATTATGCATTTGTGATTAATTTTGATGATCAAGATGTCTAATCTTAACTTTTTAATTATAATGAACATATTAACGAACTCTTTTGTATCTCATGAACTATGTTTTTCTCCATACTATCTAGTTTGCTCATACTCATTTTGTATCTGCATGCATATCCGCTCATATATTCGCATGTATATACGTGACCGTATCTATTTTAGCGGATATGGTTATGAATTTTTATTACCGAGATATATCTGTATCCGTATACGTATCCGAGATGGGTAAATGGATATGGATATGGTAAGCATCATACCTGAGCCGTATCCTGACCGAGTGCACCCCTATATTTAATACTAATCCAGTGTGAACAACCTATAGCTCAACAATTTTAAAAAATAATATTAATAAAATACATGAAATACTATTTTGAATATTCCATTTAAATCTTACTATAACCTAATACTAATTATATTTTGAATATCTTGTACATGAAATACTATTTTGAATATTTCGTTTAAATCATTAAAAGAATCATAAAATTAATATAAAATTACATATAAATAGTCTTGTAATGGAAACTAAAGTAAAGTCATTAGTCACCTATGTTGTGAAATATAACAAGCTGGATAAGGAGAGGAAAATTACTATAATAGACAAAAATTATACACATGATACTTATTTATAATAGGGTAAGTAAAAAAAATTAAAATTAACCTTTTTTTCTATTTAGTGTCATGACTCTACGTTTAACTTTCTATGGGGATATGACTACTAATGATGAATCAATTATTGAAGACATATTAAAAGATAAGCATGTAATAGTACTATCAGATTTTAAGATTTTTAAATATGAAGGTAACATGTTTTATTACTAGAATTCTTATTAAAGGTCATTAAACATAAAATTCACCTCATATCGGTCTCAAATTTATAGGATAGATATGCATGTCATTGTCAATTGTGTTAACAATATATATCAACCCAAAAATAAACTTACTAAAAAAATAAGAGAATAGTAAGTAAATCATGCAAAAATCTAAAGAAAAATATTATATTTTAAAACTAATAAGTTGGGCTCATTCAGAACAAGCTGTCAAGGCAAAAGCATATCTATTAATACTCTTTACAAATACAATACAAATTCATATTACTGATATATGAAATCATCATAACATTCGGAAGAGGTATGATCTTACAAACCTACTCTAAAATTCACACAATTAAACCTAAAAGTAGTTTGCCAATATATAGACACGCTAATGCAAAGATAACTACCATTTACAATAGAGTTGAGTCATGATTCTACGCTTGCAAAGGCTGCGACAAGAATGTAGATAGAGATGTTAATAAGATCCTCCAAATGATAATCACTGATGATGTAGTATAAAGGTTGAGTAATATTCTTTTTTCATAAAATAAATATATCAAAATTAAATATTAGCATTATAACTTAAGGCAAATTGACAATTAAAAAATGTAGTTATTTAGTTTAGATCCTATGAAAGATGACAGAGACAATGCAAATGTAACTTTATTTGATGTAGTAGAAACTCTTATTAGATGCACAACAGAAAAATTTATTGCAAAGAAAAATAAGGTAACTCCTAACATTATTAAAGTAATTTATAAGGCAAATTGACAATTAAAAAATGTAGTTATTTAGTTTAGATCCTATGAAAGATGACAGAGACAATGCAAATGTAACTTTATTTGATGTAGTAGAAACTCTTATTAGATGCACAACAGAAAAATTTATTGCAAAGAAAAATAAGGTAACTCCTAACATTATTAAAGTAATTTAACAAACATCGATGAAAATAAATAATCACAATGCTAAAGTTTAGAGATATAAGAGGGAAAAACTATCAAAATAGAACCGATTAACAAACTTTTGTAAGTAAATAAATTAAAACTACTTAATGATCATGATATTTAACCACGTGCATTGCATGTGCATAAAACCTAGTAGTAAAAAAATAAAGGAAAAAAAAACAAACAAGATGAGTTGCTACATTAATGTGTCCTTCAAAAATTTTCCCCTTATTCCCCAACTTTCCCCCATAACACTTTCTCATCATTTTTGTCATAACCCTCCCACCCTGCCTCTCATATATTCTCTCTCCTCTCTCAAAAATTATTTTGCCAGATATATTTTATAAAAAATAATAAAATATGTACTAATTTATTAAACATATAAATTTTTTAAAGGAGATAACCCTATAATTAAAATGCATAAATGTAAAATATATAATATGTCTCTATTGAAAATTGTAAAGAAAAATTGACTTCCAATATTTTCTTATAAATATATAATCCTCCTCTCTTAATTTTTTCCCCTTCTACATAGTATAAATAAATATTTTTCATGCAGATAAAATTGCAAAACCAAAACTTCTGAAAGCATATAATTTCTACTCTTTTAAGTATGCAAGTCAAAAACTGTAAAATTGTAAGTTGAAATATACTATGTCAAAAAACTATAGGAAAAAATTTGCAATATTTTGTTCAATAAAAGAAACATTATTCTTTTCTCTTTTTACAAAAAATAACTACACACAAACACATTTCGGTAATGTAATTAGTTATTTTCCAAAACCATACAAATAAAAATGATAAACATTTATACACTTTCAAGTTATTATATTTAAAATTTCTAGCTGAAGGATAAGTTTGGTATGATGCAGATAATAGAAAACATATATAATAAATTTGTATTCCCATTGATAAAGTCACAATATTAAAAACGGAATTAGAGAAATACAAGATAAAAATAATTTTCATTTATTTGTCAAAATATTCTAGCTTATACCTATATTGATTATTTTTTATATATAAGTTTTTAAAATACTTATTTTAATAACTCGCAACTAAATTAGGGGTGCATTCGGTCCAGATAAGGTTGGGATATGATACTTATATATCCATATTTACTTACCCATCTAGGATACGGATATACCTCGGTAAAGAAAATTCAAATCGATCCATATCCGCTAAAATCGGTTATAGATACGGATATACAAGTGGATATGCAACTAGATACCAAACAAATATGAGAAAACTGGATAGTATTGAATAAATATATATAGTTTATGTGATATAAAAGAGTTCATTACTATGTTCATTATGTCTAAAAATTAAGATTAGACATTTTGATCATCAACATTAACTTCAAACCCATAATCTAAGGATGAAAACTATAGTAACAATATGACTAATATGTATTCGCATATTTCAGATGTGGATCCA